TCTTCAAAGATACTTTTCTTTACGGCTAATGACATAGAGTTGAATATGAAATATATCTGAAAGAAATTGCTTGCATTAAATTTTGTGACCCCAAAAAGCCAGTTTTAGGGTTCAATGTGTCTTCCCAGTGCTCTGATAAGACATTATTTAAAAAGAATGTCCCTTAAGAGCCATGAATGATTTGAGAATAAATGGTGACGGGAGGGATAAGATAAACTGGAAACTTTTATAACCACCCCTCCAACACACACACACACACACACACACACACACACACACACACACAACCATAAACCTGAATTCAGAAAATCCCCACACTGTGCAAAATACACAATTTCTAGTGCTTTTCTCCACAGAAATATGTGTAAAACAATTCATGGCGGCCTAAGGGTTTATGGCTCATGAATGAAGGGTTCTCCTCTGCATGGTCTCCCCACTCTCTTTTGCACAGCCAGGCAATGCACTGTAAGATTTGGGATGAGTGACAAGTATGCCTTTCTTTTGAAAAGTAATAGAAGGGCTATTAAAAACTCTGTAATATTGGGATGATCATGTTAGGGGGAAAAAAAATGAAAATTGAAGACCTGGAAATTAGCCTCCTTAAAACTACACGCACTTCTGCTTCGGGAACCTGGACAAGGCAGTGCATTTGAAGTGGTTTGAAGACCACTGGCCTAAGTCACTTCAGGGAGCCCAGATCAGAGCAGCCTGGGATGGCAGAAACACAGCATTCAGAGGGGAGCTAGAAATTAAGAAATGTTGACAATGCTGAATGGGGCAGAATACAAATCAAGCAAGTCCTTGTGAAGGACTTACAAATACCTAACTTTGCAGGAAGATGAAAACTATCAAATGCCCTCTATGAGAAAGGAGGCATTTTTCTCCCATATATGGTAAACATTATACAATTAACCTATGTTGGATGCTTTCCCCCAGTGAATGTATATTCATAAATCCTTGTGAACTATGGACAACTGAAATAAACTGACGGACCTGCTGCCGCAGCTGCCACCACCCTATTTCTCCCAGCTACACATGAGCATCTGTAAGGCCCTTACCAACAAGGATGGAGTCTGGGGACAAGATGTTGCCTGGAGGCCCTGAATTATTCCTAAGATAAAGGGAGTCCATTTGTTGTTGTTGTTGTTTTGTTTTTCTTTCACTTTATTTTCTCCCAGGCAACTTTAAAATGAGATAGGAGACTATATTAAAATTTTGGACATCTTTATAGTTCTCATCTGGCAAGTATGTTTGGATTATCTTTGTGTTGCCATTTAATCACACTGCAGCCTCCAGTTACCTATATTGGACAGCACAGCTGAGCAAAATCTGAGAGTGGGAAATAAATCAGGAAAGCAAATTTTGAGCTTTAGTTACAAAGCGTCCTTAGAATTAATTTAATGAACGTAATATAATGAGTCATTTCCGAGCCTGCTGGGAGCAAAGACTAAATTGCCCACTGTGATTCCAGAAGGATCCACGAAGGAGTAGGAGTTGTTATTTGGGGAAATGACTTACTTCCTGAAGGTGGGAAAAGATCGCCCCACAGGCAGCCGACCTCTTCCTCCAAGGGGCCTCACCACACTCCTGCCTCACCAGAGCCTAATGCATAAGGGCCAATGAGCTAATAGGACAAAACCTGTGAATTACTAAGGGGTAACACTTGGTCTCCGCTCCTTCTGTTCTCCTAGGTAGGGTTGTCAGCAACACCACCTCTGCTGGCTTCACTCCCTACCCCTCCATGTCACCTCGCTGAGAAGGCAGGGATGAGTTAGTGAGTTTGGAAGAAGGAACTGAGTATGTTCAGCTGGGTGCCGGCCCCTCTCCTGTTAGGAAGCGTCCCTCTGGTCTGAACTTTGTCACAGGATAGGTGCTTGTCCCTCAGGTGAAACTGGAGGCTGTTTATCTCTGCCTGGGACAGGGAGGGGACATTCAGCTGCGAGATAAAGTTTTAACAAGCTCATTTAGCCACAGAGCTGAAAATACATTCTTGAATCAGTTTTATTAGCAAAAAGGTGCTGTCTTAAACTAAAATAAAAATTGATGGATGGACTGAAAGGATGAATGAATTTAACATCTAGCCACCTGAAGCTGAGTCAAGGATTCAGAGGTGGAGGCGAGCATCAATTTATTCAGTGGAGATTCCCCTACAAGTCGTCTTCAAGTAAATCAGTTTTTATAAGTCACCTTCTCCTTTTACCTCCCAAATGGCTAATCCTTTCTTCCCAGCTAGACTAATTATCAATGCCCATTAATTTTCCTTAGCTGGCTCCTAACATTTATGTTTTAAATGTTTCCATACCCACCAAGGAGTTAAATTATCTTAATAGACAATTAAGTGATTAGGAGTTCTTTTAGCAAAGCTTATTGTTGGTTTCTAGTGAATAAAGCAGTTGACACAATCAGAAGAGTGCCACCAATGACTTATGTGTTGTCTCATTTAATCCTCACAACAGCCCACTGTAGAGGTGAGGAAACAGAGGGCCAGGGAAATTAAGTAGCTTGCCCAAGTCTGCATATTCAGTAAGTAGCACCGTCAGGGTTTGAACCCTGATAAGCCTCCAATTCCATGCTCAGTCCACGACCCTACAATGCCCACATTCCTAGAACTACATACTATCAAGACTGGAAGAACCTTTGCAAGTCACTCAGTCCATCTACGGCTGATGTCCTCCCAGACATGGCCTGCCTATCACAGTGATGGGGAGTTCCTAAGCCGGCCCCTTCCATTGTGGGGCAGCCCTGCTGCTCCCCAAACTCCTTTTTACATGGAATGTCCTTAGACTCGCTCCACTGGCCCAAGGTCTTTCTTTTCTTTGAGGTCCCAAAGCACAGAACTTTGGAGGTAGCAGAGAGTCCATTCTTCGAGTAAATGCCTCCTGCTCCTCCACCCCAATCCCCACAAACCTTCACCTTCAGCCCTTCCTCATCCTCCTAGGACCCGCCTCTGAGCACAATCATTGCCAATAACATATCTGAGTTCTGGAACTAGACATGACATTTCAGAATGGAGCAGACCAGTGCAGAGTAGTGATAGATTATCACCGCCCTTGTTGTAAGCACCGTTCCACCACGTATTATTTGGGGGTGGGGGGTGGGGGGAGGGGATGAGGAGTGGGGGAGTGGGAAGAGCACTGCTTCTCTGCTCAAAAGCCTACATGCCTCCCTAATGGAAAAAAAAACAAAAGTTTCCCAAATTGCATTTTCTGAAACACGAGCATCCCAGAATAAGTGAATGGGTGTTCTTTAAAAATATAACAGATCTGTGACTACGTAAGTCTGGAATATACTGCTCAATATTTGTTCATTAGTATAAATCTTTATTGAGTGCCTACTGTATGCCAGGTACTGTTCTAGTCACTAGATATATATCCATGAAAAATAAAAACACCCCCAAATCCCTGTTTATGGAAGCTACAGTTCAGAAACTACAGTGCAAGAAATACTATAAATATGCGAAGACCTTTTAGAAGAAATTAGATACATAGTCCAGAAGGCCAAGTAGGCTCTTGGCAGCCCAGGAAGCTTTTCCCAGGGTTCTGTGACCTAGAGCATCAAAAAGACACCCTGTGTCCCCTCCCGCCCCCCTCAGGTAAAAGAGCTGACGGCTACTTCCAAATCCAGCTGGCTTCTCTTAGCAACCCAACACAACTCTTCTATTTCGGCCCTTTTCATTGCCTAGCACTTCCAGGCAAGAGAGCACAAAAATGGCATAAAAACCCTCGGCAGGGACCTGCTCCTCTGCTCAAAAACTCTTTCCAGGCCCCACTCCTCCCCACCGCTAACTTCCATATCCTCGCTCATCACTCTCTTGACTTCTTCACCCATTTTTGGTCCCCGTGTTCCAGTGAGTCCCTCTGGGGCCTGATGGTTCAGTCTGGGACACTGGCCCCAGCTTGAAGCACACCCCCTGCCGCTACATGGAACTGTCAGCATCGACACATCAGCGCTAAGTGCTGGCACCAGCACCCCAGCCCTGGCCTCTCCTTTTCCTTGTCTCAGACTCTTAAAACAGAGAATGGATCTGGGTTGGGCGGGTGAGAAGGCACCATCCCACAGGTGAACCAGGTCAGAAAGGCCTGTGCCTGTGCGAAAGGAGCCGGACACACAGGAAAGGGAGAAAGCAAAGCCTGGCCTCCGTCCGTAGAGACGCTGAGTTTGGAGAAAAGCCAAAATGCAAAAGGGATTTGTTATTTGTGGAAGGCTTTTATTTGGTGGTGGGAAAAGAATGGCAAATATGTAACACAATATTTCTGTAACTATAAATAACATGTAAATACCTTTCATAATGGAAACCTTATGGAATCTGCTTTTCTGGGAGGCTTTTAAAATAGGAAAAGGCAAGAGAGAGAAATAACATGTATTTGTCCCGTGCTTTGTGCTAAGCACTTTCCATATGTTGTTTGCTTAGTCCTCTCACTCTCCTTCTGGGGAAGGTTTGCACTTTATAGACGAAGGAAATGAGGCTAAGAGGTTGAGGAACTTGACCAAGGTCCATGGTGAACCACAGTTTGAAAGTAGGTCTTCCAGAACCATGCTCTTTCTGGCATCCAGCAGGAGCCTGCCTAGGGGCAAGGGCTGGATTATAAACGTTTCTAGATTCTTCTCTATGGCTAGGATTTCAGAATCAGCTTGTTTCTGGCAGATGCCTATGACTTTCGGGATGATAAAACTCCAGTGTGTGCACTATGGCAGTAACTCAATAAAGAAGCGGGGACAATCCCGACAGTGCCATTGAGAGATGCCAGGCTCCGCCACTGCCTTGCTGTGTGACCTTGTGTGACCTCTTTGGGCTCCAGTTTTCACATCTGGAAAATGCAGAGCTGGGCTAACCGCTCGGGAAGCCTCTGCTCAGCTCTGACAGTCCTGTGTCTCAGGTACTGGAGTTCACTCGAGGTGTCTGAGGAGGGTGTCCCCCAAGAAAGGCCACTTCAGAGCTTCCACCAGCCTGGCCCAGTTCTCCTGCCCATGCCCCTCTCCGCAGCCCAGCCTGCACTCACCTGCACCTCCCGAGTCAGGGCCAGCTCCAGCAGCTGGCCAAAGTGCTGGCCCAGTGTGCTCAGCGTCTCACTCACACAGGCCTTCATTGACTTCAGGACGTGCTCATTCTCAACCTGGAGGCACCTGGGGAAAAGACACGATAGGGTGGGCCGCTGGGCGGGGCAGGTGATCAGCCCAGAGCACAGCAGGGGCCACGTCATCGGGGCCTGCTGCCGGCCATGTGGTGCTGCAGGTGGCCTGGGGAGAAGACATCAGCTCCCAGGGAGTCAGAGAGGGAGGATACCATAGCTCGCTCATCGTTGGCCTCCTTGTGTTCAGATAAGCACTGGCCTGAGGTGGGAGCTAACAGTTCACGTCACCAGGAAGAAAGGCCATTAGAAAGCACCCAAATCCTACCTCTGGGCTTCTCCCTGGGAGAATCTGCCTTCATCGCAGTGGGGTGTCTGGGAAGGGGGGGAAAGGAGCAGCAGAGAACGGGGCTGGAGTGCCAGGTGCTCACTCTAAAGGTGTATGACAGTACCCTTAAAGGAATGGCTGCCTACAGTGTTCAGAAAAGATCTTTGAGGGTGTTCTCCTCAGACAGGAAAAACAGCTGGGGATCAGGCTCCAATGTACTCCTATGGCCTGAGAATGTTCCACACTGGAAACCCAAGACCCCATGGGGACCCTAAGGGACGCCAAGCTCCACATTTTTCTTCCAGGACATGGGGACTGGAAAGAGTGAGGGAGAGTGTCAACATATAACTGGGAGTGTGTACATGCGAGGTTGAGTGTGTGTATGGGTCTGAGTGTAAATGATGTATGTGTATGTGTGTGAGATACAGAGAAGAAGGTGTGAGTGTATTTCTGTGACTGCGTGAGTGCGTGTCGATAAAGCTGCGTCTGAGCAAGTGAGTGTCTTTGAAATCCTTGTCTATGTGTATGTGAGTATAAAGGTGTGAGTGTCAGCTTTCACTGTGCCTTGGCTTTGGGAATCAGGGGGCTTCCCAAAGCTGTGAGAAACCTTTTCCTTGTTACCAACTCTCAAGAATCCTTTCTTCCTATGCCCAGGCCTCTCCTCTGCCTCTTACATTCTCCCTAGGGCCTGAAAATGGGACAGAAAAGCCCAAGGGAGTCTTTCAAGGCTGCTGATAAAAGTCAGCAAAAGAAAACTCCCAGAATACCTCCAGCACCCCCCCACTCCCAATTTCCCTCCGAGAGAGGATGCCAGTGCCTTCCCCGGCCTGAGGACTGGCTGGCAGACCCTGTCCAGATTTACCCATCATCCAGCTTTACCTCTCCGTGACTGCTGAGAGCTCTGAGCATTTCTCCATTAGCAGCTTCTCAACCTGTAGAAAAATAGAACAATTTTCTTCAATTCAATAAGCATCGGTCGAGGCCCAGTTGCTGCACTAGGCCCTCTCAGACATAAAGACAAAGAATCTAATCGTCTGATTTGGGAATCAGGCACATAAACTATAACAGTGTGATGTGTGTGGCAAAAGAAATCATTACCGGCTGCTTTGGGAGCTCAAAAACAAGGAAAACTGAGCAGCTAGTTATGCCGGGGAATCTGGGAAGGTTCAGAAAGGAAGGGGCATTTTGAACTGGGCTTCAAAGCACAAATAGAAGTTTACTGTCTGTGAAGTGGAGCAAGGAAAAGTGTGAAGCACTGAGGTGGAAAGTAAATGCCAAAGGAAAGAAATGCTAAGGGGGATTTTCAGTGGTTCACTTAGGCTTGGAGAAGATTCAAAGTCATGGGCTTTGGAATCAAGAAGGCTTAAGTTGAATGACGCTGACACCATTTACTGTATAACTTTGGGCAAGTTACTTAAGCTCTCTAAGTTTCTGTTTCCTCATCTACAAAGTAAGGACAATAGTACTACATAATATTTTAAGTCAATTGTTTTTAATGTTTTACATATAATAACAGTCCTCACTGTTATTTATCTATAAGATAAATACCATTATTATAATCAGAATGATGAAACTGGGGCACAGAGAAGTTGAGTAACTGGCCAAGGTCACACATCAGAGCAAACATTTGAACCTAGGCAGTCTGGCATGAAAGTGGGTATACTTAACCATTGCCCAGTCTCTCATAGTGGTTATGTCTGCTTCAGAGGTTGTGCAGGTTAAACGAGATGTGCTTAAAAAGGCCTAGCACAATCCCTAGCAGAATACGTACTATTTAAAGGTCCTTACTGTCCTCTTTGCTTTATTGGAAGAGGAAGGTCCCGGGGGCAGGAAGAGTTCAAATGCCACACAATTCAGACCCACTCTTCTAGAAGTCATCGTCATTCCAAGTGCCCACCGACACCCATCCCAGGATAACTGACCTGGCCCATCTCTTGTGAGGAGCTCCTGCTGACAGCAGTGTACTCGCTGACCATGGAGCGGGCGTGGCAAGTCAGACGTACGCTCATGCTATGGACGCGTGCCCAGCGGTCCTGGGCCAGCTTCTGCCCAATCCTGCGCAGCTCGGTGCTGATGACCCAGCCCCGCTTGAGCAGCAGCTGCAAGGGGTCTCCAGGGCCAGGGCCACCAGCCAGGATGAGGTCACCTTGGGCATCCTCCTCCAGGCTGATGGGCTTCGCCTGCAGGACACACATGCACTCGCACTCCGTCATTAGCTTCAGGTCCTCCATCCAGCGCTGCACTGAGTCCACCTGCATCAGGTGCAGCCTGTAGCCAGGGAACAGTGCCATGAAGGCTATCAACACTCCTCAATTGCCCAAGGTTTCAATTGCAAGCCACCTGATGTTAACTGAACACCTACTATAGGCTCATCCCTGTTTCTTGCATTTACTTACCTTAATCCTCTTATTTCTCCTTATGTTCTTCTTTCAAATAGTAAGACTGAGGCACAAAAGTTTTGGGGGCAGATGTCCAGACAAAAAGCAGGCAATAAGTCTGCAGAGTAGCATATGATCTTTATAATAAGAGGAAACTGGAAACAATGTATATATCAAATATTAGTTACGTTAAGTAAGCTACGGTACAGCTACTTGGCTATATAGTGTGCACTTCTTTAAAGTACTGCTTTCCAAAAGTTTATAGCAAAGAAAAATGTGTGCATTAATAAAGTGGGAAAAGCAGTATACAGAAATGTAAACAGAATTGTTACAATTATGTTAAAAAGCTATGTCTGGAAAAAAATATTTAAAGGACAGATTAAATTGCTCATGGTTCTTGTATGGGCAGTGAAACTAAAGGCTTTTTTTTACAATTTTTTCAACTTTTTCCTAATTTCCAAATTTCCTATCGTGAGCATGTATATTACTTTTGTAATGGAACAAAATTAACTATTTAGTCCAACAGCATAAGAATATAAATGAGATCCCAAGATCTTTATCAAATACAATTCACTCTAAAATCCATTTAGTCAAATAAAGTTCAGTGATAGCATCATTAATGAAGCATTGAACATTTGTTGAGTGCCTCATATTTAATATCACATAAATGCCAGGCACTGCAGGAAAAGCGGAGAGGAACATGCCAAGCCTCCACGCTCATGGAGCTACTGATCTGCCTGAAGAATCAAGAGCAAGCAGCGACAAGCTTCCAAATGACAGATTTCAACATCATTTGAAGATTACGACAGAAGCAATGCACAGTTAAACACTAAGGCTGGGCTCGAGTCCCTGTGTCTTTGGCTTGCAACAGTCCTGTACGTAGTATTTCTGTCACTAACCTTGCCTGCCTCAAGCCATTCTCCACCTGGACCGATCACTCACTCATTCTACAGATATGTACTTGGTGCCTACTGTGTGCCAAGTACTGTTCTAAGCCCTGGGCTGTAACAGCAAACAAGTAGATAAAAATCATTTCCCTGGCGAAGGTTACATTCAAATGATGTGACAGTCGACTTTCAAACTAATTTTCAAAATAAGTAAGCAATGCATGTAGTATGTTGGAGGTGGCAAATGCTATGAAGAGCAAGAGAAAAAGAAAGAAGGATAGAGAGTGCTGAGAGTGGAAGGGGGAGTAGGCATAGCAATTTATTTTATTTGTTTTATTAGTTTCTGGTGTACAAAACAATGTAATAGTTAGACATTTACACCCCTCACAATGTGATAACCGGCCCTCCCCAATCTACTACACTTCTGACATTGTATATAGCTGTTACAATACAACTGACTATATTCCCTGTGCTGTACTTTACATCCCATGACTATATACATTTAATTAGAGTTGACATTCAATATTATTCAGCTTCAGCTTCAGGTGTACAGAGCAGTGGTCAGGCATCTACACCGTCTACGGAGTGATCCCCCTGATAAGCCCAGTGCCCATCTAGCAATTTAAAAATGAGTGGATCAGAGAAGGCTCACTGAGAAAGGGACATTTGAGCCAAGACTTGAAGGACTTGAGAGAGCAAGCCATGTGGATATCTGGGGGAAAGTTGTTTGAGGGAGTGAAAGCAGCAAGTGCAAAGGCTCTGGGGCATAAGTGTCCTTGAGATGTGTGAGGAAAAGCAAGGATCCCAGAGTCAGCCAGGCAGGGAGAGGGATGGAGGACATGAGGTGAGAGCAGTGGCGGGTGGGGGGTGGGGGCAGACCCTGTGAGGCTGTGTGTGTAGCACAAGGTGAGGACTTGGTTTTTATTGAGTCAGGACAGCACACAAAGGGCACTGAGGCCAGCTGGGTGAGGCAACTGTATCAGGTAAAACTGAAATTATAAAGGCATGCTCAGTTATCATGGTTAAGGTCATGTCTTCATATTTACTGTTATTTAACAAGAAGGAGCAGGACTTTCTGAACAATGCAACTGTTTGACTGTTGGGCTCTTAAATGTAACTTTTAACCACAAAGCTTATAATGTTTAACCAGGGATATTGTTCATGTGGTGTCTTACAGCAAATTGCCTTTTAAATTGTTAAAAATAAGAACACACCAATGACCATCCTCCCTCTCCCTTCATGAAAATATGTATATATGAGAGAGAGAGAGAGAGAGAGTCACCTGAAATTACAGCACCCTGCTGCCCAGTCTATCTTTATGAACTCATATTTAACTTTACATAAGTAGGGTTGTATCATATGTACTCTTTGATTGTAGACAGTTTCTGCTGTTCTGCATCTCATTATCACTCTCTCAATCCTTCATTTGATGGCATAGACCCTCAGGAGTAGAACTACAATTCAGTAGCTATTGCCATATTGGCTCCCCAAAGCAGCAGTACTCCCCATTCTCCCCAAAAAACAAAAAACATATATATATATATATATATATATATAGAGAGAGAGAGAGAGAGAGATTATAGATATAGATATAGATATATTTACTCCCCTGTGAGAGTCCTCAGTGTCCCCTGCACCATTGTCCCCTGCATAAGTCAAAATTCCTGAGGCTTGGATGAGGGGGCTTCTAAAATCTGGCCCAGGCTCTCCCTTTTCCATCTCCCCCCAACTCTTAGCACCCTTACCATAAATACTCACTACACTCCAGGCACACTCAACCTCCCTATTTCCCAAATATACTACTGTCTTCTACAATCCCCTAGCCTTACGCAGACAGTTCTCTTAGCTGAGGATCTCCTTTCTTTCTTCTCTACGTGGCAAGCTCCTACTCACTCTGCCAGACCTGGCTCTAATGTTACTTTCTCTGAAAAGCCTCAGCCAGAGCTCCCCAGCTGCTCCCCAGGGCCCCCATACCCCTTTGTGCATCCTCCTTCGGGGCACTAATAACATTCTATTGTAGTTGGTGTGTTTGCTTGAACTCTCCAAGTCCTGTGAGGGACAGTCCCTCATATCTGGTTTATTGCCAGTGCCCGACATGTACCAGCTACTCAGTAAATGTACACCAATGAATGAGCGGCGGGTGTTTAATGCTGTACCCCTGCAGAAGACCTCAGAGGCCTCCACGGCTCAGGCTACCCAGAGAAAGCCCCAAGATGAACGCAATTGCAAAGGGGACATAGAAGATGGGAAAACATATGATCATCATGTTCTAGAGATAGAGAACTGGGAAGCAAACTGATCTGGGGGCTTTTAATAGGCAACAAATGAACCAGTCACTCACTCACTGACTCATGCAGTCCACAAACACTTTGCAGTGGACATCTGTTGCTTTTGGCTTCCGAGCCTCCTCCTTCTTCTGTCAATAGCAAAGACAAGTTACATTTAGCTGCCTCCTGGTGTGGCAACCTGGGCTCCAGCTTCTCCACTCTCTTTGGGAAAGGTCTCGCCTCCCAAACATAGACGTGATCCCCCACTGGTATCTGTGCTGTGAAAATGCCCCCAGCCAGAGCTGGCAGTTGATCCACGGGTGGGCTCCCAAACCAAGCTGCACTAATTCAATTCCCTCTCCCCAAACTGTGAAACTTAGAACCGAGAGTTCCCGAGACTGGCGTTCCATCATGAGCATGATGGTAGCTTCAATTAGGGACTGGAGAAGAAGTCCAAGGGTTACTTTCTATTGCATGTAATGAAAAGAACCTTTTCTAAAACACAAGCACACAAATAACGGAGCAGAGTTCAGTCAGTGCCCTCCCTTGGAGAAAAGGTTTTCTGGGAATTCAAAGAAGGGAGCTGTCCCCACCAGTTGGAGATCAAGGGAAGGTGCTTGGAGAAGGTAGCTTCAGAGCTAGGTAGGGTTTGGGCACATGAAGACAGTGGGAGCATATTCCAAAGTGGGGCAGACCATGGGACATTGAGTAGGTCAGATGGGCTGGAGTCTTACATTCTGGAAAAGAGAGAGAGCAGTGAGAGAGGAAGCAGGAAAGATGATTCAGGACCCTGATCTTGAGAAGATCTGAATGCCAGAGTCGGGGTTGGGCATTTACACTGAAAGCTCTGAGACGCTATCAAAGGGTGACAGGGTAGGGTGACAGAGGTGAAGGCTGGTGGGGTTGAAAGACTACTAGATCACAGCACCTGGCACAAGGGAACCCCGTGGTGCTGGGCTGGGTTTTCAGCATGTCTCCCTGTGGAAGAGCTCAGGGACCTTCAGGCAGGAGAGACTCACACCCCCTTACTTCTGACCTGGATGGGAAAGAACCATGAATGTGTCAGGAAAGGAGAAAAGGGGAGTCGGAGCCACCAGAGGCCTGACTCAATCCAGAACTCACATTTCTGTCACTCCCTCCACCCCCAACTTGCATGGAGGCATACTCAGTTCTCACTCTTTAAGATCGTTAAAAATTAGAAAGAAAATGGGATTTCAGGTACTGCATTAATTAAAATAATAATTGATTTATCACTCTGCTGATAAGAGAAATGGAATAACAAAGCTATTGATTTCTCCAGCATCCAGTATGTGTGCCTCTGCTTGTCTGCTTGTGGATAAGAGCTCATCTGGGTGTCTGTCTAAATTATCTGTATGCCTGAGTCTGGGTGTCTGAGTGTGAGTCTGTGTATCTCTACCTGCACCAATACTCAGATATGTGGAAATGTTTACAGGTCTTGCATCACATAAATTTGATGATTAAAAAGAGGTGGGATGGGGCTTGAGCATGGGCTGCCCTTAGTGACTCAATTCCAAAGAAAAGGGCATAGAAAGTGGAGAAAAAAGTAACTTTGCAGTGAAGGAACCTGACAAACACCACCCTAGCCAAGTGATCAAAGCAAACCTCACCGCTGGATAAGCCATGTGGATAGCATGGACCCCCGATATGATATGATGAGAAGGACATTCACCTCTGTGGCATTCCTCCCCAAAACATACAACCTCAGTCTCATCATG